CACCCTTTAAGCTAGATGCAGTAGTGTCGGATAAATGTGTATGGTGACCTCAGAGCTAGGATACAGTGGTTTTGACCCAGTGTATATATTTGGAGTACTCACCTCCAGCTGGACGTCCTCCGGCCTGGCCTGTGGCGTAGAGGTGGATGGCTGCGGGCTGCGGCTGCGGCTGCGGCAGCGTCTATCCTCCTCGGTGCCTCTGGAGCGGCTCTCCTCCCTCTGCCTCTTCCTGCCTCCTGCAACCTGTTAAAGCCATGAACAGAAGCAAAAAGTAAAGGACCAGGTCAAACTAGTTCAGTTATAGTCTTTTCAGACTGCTGCTGGTACGTCACTGGTTTCCATCTGTGTTTCCTGCGTAACTGAATGGATCACTGTATTTTATCTGCCTGCTCTGCTTTATTACAAAATGGTACCATGAAAGGGTAAACACTTCTTAGAGTTACTATACCAAACATTATCATTATAGGAATACTATAACTCTATAATAAATACTGGCACAAAGTCCAGGTTACTCCTTTGATGTAACAAGTTAACTTAACACATCACTTGTGCTGTAAATGTTTTATATACAATGTTTACATGAAAAAACAGAATCAGCGGCTTTCGGATTTCACATTATTTAGATGAGACATGAACACAGCATCATGACTTCAGTCTGGTCTGACCAACATTAGCTGAGTATAGAGAGATATAAACTCTTCAGGTCAGATTTAATTTATTTGTAATAAGTAGCCTTGCAAAGGCAGGGGACACTGCAACACATCCCATAATTACCTAACTAACTCATTAGTGCCACCTGGTGCAAATTCAACAGCTGCAGGGTTTCATAGTGTTTTATGGAGGTGGTGTGCCACCTCATCTGAATCAAAGGTAACGCCTGTTTCATCATTGAGAACACTTTATAAACTAAAACATTAAACTCTGAGGGAAAATTTCACACAGCTAATGCCACATGTTTAATAAGCGTGACCATTGTTTAGGCCATCAAGGTGAACCCAAATGATCAGATAAGATGTGTCAGGATCAGGGTGGCTAACCACCTCAGCTAAACTATTTCCTGGTGAACTTGCCAGAGACCAATCAGCAGGCCTTTGCTGACGGCAATAATAACAGAAATCCGACATGTAACGCTCCAGCACACACTTCCACTCCACACTTCTCACCACACAGCAAATCCCACTGGTCTCTGAGTAAGCGAGCGACACATCAAACTTACTGATCACTTAGAGTAATGCAAGGACCGCGGCGGAACCAAACGCACAGTCGGCAGAACATCATCATCCGGGCGGCGCATGAAGACCTGCAGGAGGATAAACAATCAGTGGGTCACCTGCCTGCAAGACAGATGTTACTGCAGCTTCCAGGAGAGGGTCACAGGCTGATATGACGAACGAGAGGCAAAACCACATCACAGCAACGTGGAACACTGGAGAGGAGGAAGTTACACCGGCAGGATATGTGGGAATGCAGCTGAATCTCCTGTGCAGACAGACGTCTTGTCCTGGGTGATCGTTGGACCGCAGGGTGACATACGTGATTGTCCAATTAATGTCCTCACCTAATCACTGATAATGACGGTTTTACCTCTACACGCTATCTCTGCTGAACGAGGTGCAGGACAGCCAGCCGAGATGTCTGTCTGTCCCACAGTCTGTTTTCACGGATACAGCCTTCCTGGCAGGAGCTGTAGGCCTCTGTATTGTCCCAGGATGGGACACAGAGACTAACTTTTTCCCACCATGTCCCCAGCAGGGGGAGACTCACATTTACAGTTTCACTGAGTTTAGCTCATCCAGTAGAATTGAAGTTTGAGGCATCGCTATTTGAGAACTTTCTACTATCAAATATCTCCACTGACTGCTACACTAATTGCAAATTAGCTGTTTTATGTAGAATTACAACGGAAAGATCTTTTTTTTCTCAGATCCCAAACAGTTCACTTTCAAAAGAGCTGAAATGCTGCCCAGTTGTTACAAAACAACAAACATAGACTTAATAAATTAAACAAACTAAGCAAACTAAAGAAATTACCTACAAAAGAAACATTTAATATATCTAATCTAAAAAAACAATTTTCTATAATTATCAAACTCAAAACAAATTAAAACACAATCTAATAAATAGCTCCTACACCTTCACTATGTAATTACGTAAAAAACCTCATCTATCTATGTGCTCATGTCCTCTGATACTGAGTCCATGACAAACCCTGTAATCTACTGTGATCCGTTGTGTTTGTTCAGAGTACAAATGTAAAATTACAAAACCTCTGAATGCAATACAACACATACAGCCTCAGCTGAAGTAGCATACAATTTGAACTCTATAGTGACACAAATTACTTCAACAAAACAACTGGGTGAGTCAAAATAGGGGTAACTGTGTGAGGCATTAGTTTAGAGCTTGAATAATTAATGATGACATTTTTCAACATGTGGCACACATTATGTCATGGTTGTTGCAGTGTCACAAACATCACAGATGTAAGAGTTGACTTTCCCTCAAACATACATTGTTATAGTATGTTGACAAATGCATATATTCACAGATGGTATGGGCAATTACAATTATTATTTATAGTTATTAAGTATCAATGCACTAAACTACACATTTAAAATACATTTCAAGATATTTCAAATAAGCACACACTCATAACAAATCTAAAAGGACACACACTTTAACCGTGTGCATCCCAGACAGCAAAAGCCATGAGTTTTACCTCAGAGGTGCTGGCACTGGTGCTGGGAGCAGGCTGCTCCTCCTGGGGGCTCCTATGGGGCTCTCTCCGCCAGTACAGGTGGTCGTGGAGGGGGGTTGGCACATCACACATCTGTAATGATTGACATGCAGTTCAGGAATAGACTCAACTTCATTCAACACAACTATATTTGACTGAACATTTAATGAATGTGAAAATCCATTCAATTCACAGATAAGCACATAAATAAGCACACTGATGTCTCACTGTTTCCCTTAAATAAACAAGCTATTTTGTACTCTGCATGTAAATGTCAGGGTGTTTTTGTCTTTACCTTTATGTGACATGAGGAAAACTAACTTCACCAAAAAATGGACAACTTTAAAATCATCAAATGAAGCATGAATGAGGGCTACATCCTGAGGAAAATAGACTGAAAGAGAAACCTCTAATGTGTCTTTAAAACAACAATCACTGTGCAATATGCAAGATTATATTTATTATATATTTGCAAACAAGTCTTAAACATTGTCACCATTTGCTTGAAAATGAGCAGTCGGTTCAGCATTTGGCATTGTTACCTCTGTTCTCACATTTCAGTTATTTATACCAACAACTTAACTGTTTATTGTATATTTAATATTTTATTATATTTTACTGAACCAACTCGATTGCATGAAAGCCAGCTTTCGACGCCTCAAGGCTTATATTTCGTGAAGTCGTCGAATAAAATTACTTGAAAATTTTATTTTTATTGGGCGCATCGATTGAATTTAAACCATGAAAGTCTGTGGGGCTGTCAGGTCAAGTTTTCGACGGCTCAAGGCTTAAATTTGGTTAAGTTCTCAAATAAAATGACTATTATAAAGGAAAAAGTATTTTAATCGACGCTTCAACTGAATTTAAGCCATGAAAGTCAGTTTTTGAGGCTCTCGAAGTTTCTAAAGGCTGAAATTCAGTTGAGGCGTCGAAGAAAATTACCTGAAAAACAAATCTTTTTAGAAACAGTTATTTTCTTACAGTCTCCATGATGAAACAGAAAATTAGCTCCACTGGTGTCCTCTTTTCGGTGGTCACTTGCTCAGTTTTTAGGAATTGTCGAGTGAATGTTTCTCCTCTAAAGTCTCAGAGTGAAATGATGAATTTGATAAGTGTCTTGTATTTATACAGTTTTGGTCGGACTCCATGGCAACCAGCTTCATATGTCATCACTAAAAGGACACTGATAATCTAACGGGACTGACTAATTTAAAGTATTGTTACATTCTTTTAAAAAATAACAATTTTTCAAAAATAACACCTGTGTTTTTGTTTAAAACAGTAGCTAAGTTAGCTGGTAAAGTTGTTAGCTGCAGCTAGCTCTTTTTTTGTGGTTAGCCATTTTATAAAGAATTTATAAAGCAGGTTTACCTGGTAGCTGCTTCAGTGCAGCACATCTGTCACCTTCATCTTTAATTTGGTGTTGGATAGTGTAGCTCAGGAAACACAAGAAAACCAGTGGGATAAAGCCGTAAAAGGCGTTAGATGAGCTAGAGTTCTCATCGTCACGTGACAGGTGCAGTGATGCTGTTCAATGTGGCCTCAGCAGTAAATAAATGTAATACAGGATCAGTGACTGATAAGTTGCTCCTGGTGTTAAGCTAAAAGTGTATACACAAGAACTGAAGTAGCTACTAGCTAAATGTACTAAAAGTCATAAGGTGTTCAGTTGGGAGCAAATGGGGGCAGACAGAACTGCATTAAAAGTAATAGTGGACTAGTTGGATTGATATTGGAGTATGGCTGTGAAGTATATGGATCAACAGCAAGCACAATAGGTAATAATCAACACGAGGCTTTGAGATTATGTACAGATGCATTTAGAACAATCCCAGTAGCAGCATTACAGGTGGAAATAGGTGAAATGGCATTAGAAATGAGAAGGATACAGCTATCAGTGAACTACTGGGTTAATTTACAGGACCATTATCAAGATCACAAGACACTTCAACCGTGTTGGGAAAAGGAGAGGAGGGAAACAGTGACAAAAAGCAACAGATCCTTCAGCCTAACAGTGCCATTGCCAGCAATTCCACCTTGGATAGCCTATATCCTGATGCCTCAGTAGATTTGACACTATTAGAAAAGATAGCTATTATACAGATTAAGTATCTGAGACAAATTACTATTATAGAGAAGCTATGTTTTTTCATTCAAATTTATTTATTGTAAATACTAGACGCCCTGATCCACACACCAGCTGGTGGCGGTAATGCACCAAAACGTGGTTTGCCAACCGCCACTAAACCTCAAAGACGAAGAAGAAGCAGGAGCAGAAGTTGTAGATAGCTACATCTTCTTGTGCCCTAAAATGTCTAAGTTACAGCAGCTGAAACTCTTTGTCAATGAGCGACTAACAGCGGCAGCAGAGGAAATCTTCGGCGCTGTGGAAAGGACCATATTAGAGTATCATAATGATATTTATCTGTCAAAGAAGAGTAAAGAATGCGTGCAGCTAGTGGTAGCTGAAAGTGTGATGCAGGATGAGGTGGAGGTGTTCACAGCAGGTTGGTCATACTTGTTTGTTATTATTGTTTTAGTAAAGAGTGTAATGTTAATTAATGACTGCTAGGTCTGTCATTAGAGAAACATTTGATATTAGAGTCAGACCTGAAATTACAGTAACTACAGTGGTGTATTTTTATTATTTGCCTGTATTTGTGTGTCACAGAAGCTTCCCCATTATATGCTTTTTACTGGACAGAAAATTATTAATCAAAGTATTGCCCTTTTGCTGTCTACCAAAATACATTGCTCTATCCACCTTAATCCATGATAACAGTGCCAGGTAAATACCTGGATGTTTCTGTGTCTTCTTTCCAGTCTCTAAATGTGAGGTGCAGGGTCCTCCCTTTGTGTTTATTTTTTATTTGTACAATAATGTTGAAAATGATTTATCGAGATATGCAGTATTTACATAGATTACATTAGATTCACAGTATAGTACATGTAGTAGTGTATTAGTAATGTTAATACACGGAAAAACAAATATTTAAACGCAACACTTTTGTTTTTGTTCCCATTTTATGCACACAAATTTTGGTTGCAAATTTGCACATCTGTCTTAATTAACACTTCCCCTATCAGAGAAAATCCATCCACCTGGCAGGTGTTGCATATCAACATGTTGATTATCATTAATACACAGGTGTGCCTTGGGATGGCCACAGTAAAAGGCCACTCTAAATGTGAAGTTTTATTTAAAAAAAAAAAAAAAAAAAGACATTTATTTCAAGTGAAGTTTTATTTTTAAAAAAAAGACATTTATTTCACATGACTAGTGCTACAAAAGTGCATTTTTTGGTCAGTATCTGGTGTGACACCATTGGCCTCACACAGTGCTACACATTGTTACTGGATATTGGCAGGATTTGGAACGCACTGTTGTAAAGGCTGATCCAGAGTATCCCAAGCATGCTCAATGGATGACATGTCTGGTTAGTATGCAGGCCGTGCAACAACTGGGATGTTTACAGCTTCTAGAATTGTGTACAGATCTTTGCAACATGGGGCTGTGCATTATCATGCTGCAACATGAGGTCATGGCAGCAGATGAACGGCATGACAGCGTGTCTCAGGATATCGCTGCACATTTTTTTCAGTGTGAATCAACATATGTCTTTCTCATTGTATCCCCAGTTTCCCAGGAAGTCAGCATGTCTGAAGCAGAGGCCTCCACACAGCCATCACATGGTGAACACTGTCAGGTGTTGGTGAAGCAAGAAACATCAGGTCTAGAATGTCCTGAGCCTCGGGAACACTGGCTCAGTGAGGACGAAGGGAAACTGCAGGACCTGTTAGAAAGTGATGCTGTTGCTTGTATGAAGTATGAACAGAGCACTGAGTCATCTTCTTGCAGTCAGACCCAAACTGTGGCCAGCAGAGAGGGGGATCTTCTTCCTGGCGCTCCAACTGAGTGGATAAAAACAGAGCAGGAAGTGGATGGCTGCGGAGGGTCAGATTTCTTGCAGCCTCTCTTGTCAGAAAGGGGAGATGGGTGTTATCCCAGTGATCCCAGCTTGAACATCAAAAAACAGACAAACCAGACAACTTTTTGTTGTCAGCTGTGTGGAGAATCTTTCCACCACAGGAGTTCATTAATGATGCATGTTGAAACTCATGCAAACGATACAGCCATTCTCTGTCCTTTAAACCAAGCAACATCTGCAGGAAGTGATACTGAACCTTTAGAAACAAACAAGGAGGACAATCTTTGTTCCATCTGTGGCAAAACATTTAGCAGAAGGTCCCATTTAAAAAGGCACGCGCTGATTCACACAGGACAGAAACCACACTGCTGTAAAGAATGTGGCAAGAGATTCGCACGACTTGAATGTCTGAGGATACACACGAGGATCCACAAAGTGGAGAGGCCGTACGCATGTTATGTCTGTGGGAAAGGATTCAGGCAGAGGAGCAACATGGTGTGTCACATAAGAACACACACAGGAGAGAAACCCCATCGCTGTGGCATCTGCTCCAGACCGTTTGGATATAAGAAGGACATGATCAGACACATGCAAGTCCATGCAAAGAAGACGTGAAATCTCAATTTGAGGTTTCATTCATAATCATGGAAAAATCAGCTCTTGTTGATGTACTCTGGGGTCCATCTTCTTGTTTGCTTTATTTTGGCTTTGGATAAGTGACCATATGTAGACATTGTGACATCACATCTGCATATTTTAAATGCTATATTAAATTTTGTCATAGAAAATGTTACACTGGGCGTTGGTAGTGTAGTGGATAGTGCTGGCGCCCCATGTACAGAGGCAATGCCTCGCTGCAGTGGTCACAGGTTCGACTCTGGCTTGCAACCTTTTGCTGCATGTCAACCCCCACTCTCTCTCTCTCTCTCTCTCTCTCTCTCTCTATCTCTCTCTCTCTCTCTCTCTGTCACCCCATTTCAATCTGTCCTGTCCATTAAAGGCAAAAAGCCCAAAAAAATAATCTTTAAAAAAAAAAAGTTACACTGATAATTGATAATAAAAATATAATAGAACAGGATATGACTCCTTTGTGCATCACATGAAAACCCCATGAAATAAACTGTCCATTTATTTTACATTTAGATTAATAAAAAATAGTTTTTACAATTATTAAAAAGGTTGCCCAGTAAGTGATGGGTATGGATACGAAACCAGAGTTCTGCACCGCCATCTCCTCACCGTCCTGTCGACTCCCCTCTGAGGACATTCTGGTTCATTACCACACACAGTGTTTCCTGTCAAAACTTTGTCTGCTGTAAGCTGTTTTTCTATGGCAACAGATAGAGGCACTGAATCGTGAAGCTGGTTATCAGCTGGCTCTGTTAACTGGGTTTTCTAATTTAGCTATATGTGTATTGACATGAGAAAGGCAGTCAGTTTAATTGCAGCCAGCATCACATGCAGCTTCAACAGTTTATTGAAGCAAAGTCCCTGTATGTCTGTTTTAAAGGCATTAAACACTGATGCTTTTAAGAACCTTGACTTTAGCACTTTTGAAAAAGTGTTATTTTGGCAGCAGTTTCATCTGTCAGTATGGTCTACAGCCATGCCAGCGGCTCTGTAAGGCTGTACTTGGGACACACACACACACACACACACACACACACACAAAGCAGTCATTTGAGCTAAATACTCACATTAGCATGCACATATTGACGGCGGTGATTTTTTTTTTAGCAGGTTTAATGTTTTACATCTTAGTTCTGCATGTTAGCATGCTAACACTTGCTAATTTGGAGTGAATACAAATTACAGCTGAGGCCGATTGGTATTTTGGGAAGTTTTTCGGGTAACCCAAAGTACTGGACAGACAGAAATTTTGACCTTGTGATGGCATGAGATGAAAAGAGGATCACCAAATAATTACAACTTATCATGTGGGGGATGAACATGTGCATCAGATGTTGTGGTAATATATTCAACAGGTGTTCTGACATTTTAACTACAACTATGAACCTTATCACTAAAATCAATAGGATGAATCCCTTGAGCCCATTTTTTTCAGAGGTAATCTGATCGTATTTCGACTATCGGATTGGATCAATTCTGTAAAACGGGTTGATCAAAAAAAAAAAAAAAAAACAGGAGTCTGAGATAAGATTAGATCATGTAATCCAGTCTTGGTTTTGGACTGGATCAAACCCTCAGTATGTGTTGTTTAATATGTTTTAGTAGGACTGGGATGCTTTTGATCCAAAAACATCAGGACGATCCTGATTTTAGCAGAAGGATGGATTCTGGGTGGATTTCAGGAGCAAAATGTAATTAAACTTTTACATTGGTCAAATATACAAACATTTATTTAGATTATCCACTCGATCTGTTTAATAGTTGCTGTGTTACAGTAAATATTACATAATAAATAATACATTTTTTGATTTTAGAAATCAAGTGTTGCACACTCCATTTACAAGAAATGCATACAGGGCCAGAGTGTGTGACACTTGCTTTCTATAATCAAGTCCACTGTCAGTGATCAGCACCTCGTGATAATTGTCTGTGTGCATTACTTTCAAGAAAGGACCTATCATGACTGCCATCACCAGAGCAGCTAATTATTCAGTTTTTAATAAAGTTTAGCAGTCACAGATACTTGCTGTGTAATTCATGGGCTTTACTCTTCACTTGATGGGGTAAACAATATCTAAGAATGTCTGATAATCTAAAAAACAATTACTATGATATTCCTGTGCAGATAAATAGGTTTACAAATAAGTAATTGTAACAGACAGGGTAAAGGTGTCTTGCAACAATGAGTGATGTCAAGTGAAATGTAAGGTCAGTGGTTAAAATGTGTGAATGCAGTTTTTACACTTGCTGTGCCACAGATATTCACAGTCCAGTCCAGCAGATGGCAGTATGACCCATTTCACTCATTGTATCCTCACTAAAGGCTGGCACAGTCCACACCACACACAACCTACACGCAGACAGCTCACTGTCAGGCTGCAAAATGGCCAACGCCACGCTTCAGTCGTTCAACGTCTTTCTGACGGAGAGATTGACCGCAGCTGCGGTAGACATCTACGGATTCGTTGAGAAGACAATAATAGACTACCAGGAGGAGGTGTACCAAACCAAACTGGAGAACCAGAGGCTGCAGCGGCTGCTGGATCTGGTCTACAAACCAGAGATAAGACTGCACAGGGCAGGTATGTGTCTCAGTCTGCACTACACCTTACCGTGGGTCAGTTAGCTAACCGTATGATTAACCACCTACTAAACCCCATCAGGTAACTAACACCGTGTGAAGTTAGTTAACGGCTTTGTATTAGCTACATACAGCTATGTTAGCAAGCCATGCTAGCTAACGTTACTGTTTCCTAGCTAACAGGTCAGACCAAACATTTCCCGTCAGTTTTCAAAATACAACTTTATGTGTACGTGCTATGTAGTAACATTAAAATATTTATAATATTCGTCGTAGCAAGACACTGTGGCAGCATGAAAAACAAATTTGCTGTCTTGTAAAATTCAGCACATTTTAATACTTTTGAAAAGCTATATGTAGCTAACCTCAGGAAGTTGTGGTAAGTTAGGCTCAACGCAACACGACACGCCAAATCTACTTACAAAAACCTGTTAATTCAGGGCGGCTTTATCTATCAGGATATATATGTAGTACTTGGAGAACACAAATATTGATAATAGATATTTGAAGGATACAGTGGTAAATTCGGCATACATTTGATCCGCTTAATAGTTCCCAGCTTTATTGAATCACTGTTTTAATTTGTCACTTCTCTCTCTTCACTGAAGTTGTGGTGAGACAGGGCACACAGGTAGGCTGGTGGGTGATGACTGCCCTTTGTTCTCACCACTGATACAGAACCACTAATGGTACCTTTTGTATGTTTAAAAAAGGTAGATGAATTTGTTCAGTTTATAAAAAATGAACACACATTGTAAGTTGATTTATTGCGTTAAATACATGCTTTCTTTTAGCCTTGTTCATATAGATGTCATGTCAGTAACATGAAAAGCACCTCAGGATAGACCCAATTATATATATGGTCATCTTATATCTGCATGACCGTAAGTCACCAGTAACACTTAAAGCTCCTGTCTTGCAAGTAGGGGAAAAGCATAACGTTGTAAGTTAAATAATATAGAGACAGCTGTTTTCTCTATATTAAAATTAATTGTGAGTTATATTGTTTTATTCCTGATTAAATGAAATATTGCCTATAAGCTCAAAAGGCTCTGTATAAGACATTCAGAACATCAATATAGCAGAAAACAGCTATTTGCTGTGTAAAGATATAGTGGAGTAATGACATTTTGAGCAGAGAATGAAGTCATGCTCCCTCTGTGTTTGTTGTAATCCGAGCTTCTCTGGTTTGTTGTGGTCACGCCTGCATGTTAGTGCATGTAAGTCCCTTTGCGTGTAACCCCCTAACTAGCTAATCGGCACTACTCAGCACTGCACTCAAACAGCAGTTATGGGTGGTTACTACTCATGACGGCAACTGCGTCTTCGTGAAAGCATAGCACCCACCCTCTGGTTCCTCCCCAGGTTCACACCGTTAGCTCTGTCAGTACTGTTGCTGTTGATAGCACTGTTCTCACTGTTAGCACCGTAAGCTACTGTTAGTCACCTCCTTTGTTGAGAACCATGTGCAGACAATCCTGCCCAGACTCTGAATCCTCTGAATGTTGTATACAGCTCCTTTAATACTCACCAATAGGACACCATTAGTGTTACCATAAATTCCGAGGTTGCATGCAAGGTGCATGTGGACGGGCTGCGTAAATGCATTTTCATACTAAGCTTAAAACAATGTGAACATTTTGTTAAAGGTGAGCATGTGTTAATGAATTTGTTAAAACACTATCTTGATGTGATGGCACATACTGTAACTTACGGCTGGGTGATACAGCAACATGAGAATGATCTCAATATAATTTTCCTCTAGAGAGATAAAATACTTTATTAATTCATGCCACCCATCATTTAACAGCTGAAGACAGAGTAGTAGTAGTAATACTAGGTGTGGTAGGGATGTGGAGTTATGCAACCAAGATGTAGTTTGTTTATAGCCCAACATTAGCTTTTTACTTCAGGCGATCATAAACTTGTGTTTGCCACAGAGCATAATTTCTGCAGTAATCCAAAATACAATGGAAATATCCAGTAGGCTTTTTGATGAGGGAATCAGTGCAAAGATCACTTCCACATCTGCCTACAAAAAAAAAATGGAGGTAGTTTTATTAAAATTGTTTTGAATCTACCTCAGATTTGTGAAATAATCTACTTTTTGCCAAATGTTGTCAGGTTTTGACAATAAATAATAGTTTAAACCACAATTAAGCATCTGGTTTCTTTAAGATCAGGAGCAAAAATCCCCCATTTGAACTTGAAACAAATTATGATTTGACATTCATCATGATAATCATTGTTATCCTCTGATATGAAAACTTTAATCATGATATTTTCAGCTAATCACCCAGCCCAACTGTTAACTGCATTTTGGATCTCTTTTGTAATTTCCTGCTTGGAAACCATAACCAGGGACCTTGTATTTTTCTGGTGTCATTATAATATAGCCTGAGTGAATGTGGAGTTGGCTTAACTCCCAGTCATTCTCTATGAGTGGGTCGCCAAAAGCATGTTGGGATTATGGGAGAAAATAAAGTCATTGACCTGGAGGGGTGAAACAAAGCCGCGCAGTATCTGATCACACCTGGGATCCTTTGTGTATTAGTTAAATATAGCTTAAATTAGCCAACCTATTTCACTTGTGAACCCCCACTACAAAACTCATGGATGCAGCAGAGATGATGTGTCCACCCACACGGGGCTAATGCCAGGTTCATGTTATATCAGAGAAATCGGACTTTTGAGTTTCTGACTTTAAACTAGCTTTCACATCATCGTCTGAGTCGTAATTACTGTCATCTTATGTATTTTAATCCTCACACGAACAAGTCTGTCATACAGCTGTCTTGATGAAGTGAAACCTTGCAAGTTGTTTACATGGGAATCTTTCTCATGTCTTCCATCCATCCCATATGACATGAGCGCAGTGTGAGCAGCCCTGAATTGTAAATTTTTCCACACAGTGTAATTGTGCGACACCTTGAAGAAGAAGTGAAATTCAGCCTTAAAACCGGTAGGAGCTTTAAGGGTACTCAGAGCACACAGACTCCCGCCAAGGCCAGTAGTCCAGTCTTCTATGATATGCAGATCTGTCCCAGAGTGCTGCTGCTTTCGGTATGTTCAAGCAACTAAATATGTAGGTTTCCCCAGAGAAACACTGGTGCCTATGAACGTGGCTTGTCATCATAATTTTACAATTGTCCTATCACAAATTAACTTAATTACCGACTACTGAAGACATAAGTCATTTAGTCCGGAAAATGCCCCATCTTACAATGTAAACAAAAGTGAAAAATAAGCTTGTGTATCCGCCTTATGATTTTGATCTGCTCCAAACTTTAATGGATTCCTCCTCGGCCAGTGTTGCACCCTTTCACCAAGTTTAATGGAAATGAGTCCAGTAGTTTCTCTGTAATCCTGCTGACAAATGGACAAACAAACAAGCAAACAGAACTGAAAACATAGTCAGCATGGCAGAGGTTATAAAGTCCGACATTAATGTGACAGCAGCATTAAATGGAGCCATTTGCTCAGGTACCTTGCTATGTGATAACCTCCTCCTGTGTGGCGATGATCACTTCAATTTCTTTCATAAAGTCAGTTCACATTTGAGATGAGCTCATATTGCTTATGTGCTTTAGTTGTGTGAGCTTGCATCACATGCACTCTGTTGTGATTTCTAATGTTTGGCGTGCTGCAAGTGCATTTTTACTAAAGTTCTACTCACTGTTTTCAACCCGTAACTTGCATTGATTTCTCTGCTGCTGTTAAGAGGAGCATCATCGCTGGGGATCATTCAAGTTTCCCCATCGTCTAGTTCATGTGTGATCAGAGAAGTGATTTTTCTGGCTGCTACCAAAAACATTTTCCTATCCACTGTTACAGATGCAAGGCAGATCGATTTGCCCACACCAACACAGGAGGTTTGTGCTCAGGAGCAGCAGATACAGAAGAACTGTATTCCCAGTGAGGCCAACGAGGAGCCCGTCATCCTGCCCATTAAAGAGGAACTGACCGAGCTCTGGACCAGGGCTGGGGACACACCTGTATGTTCAACATACAGCAACGTTACAGACACACCAACTCAGATAGTCAGAGGTGGAAAGCATGAAGACAATGAGATGCCAGATGACCTAACGCAAGTTGTGACAGTTGGAGAGCATGGCGAATACGATGTGCCAGACAGCCTTACTCAAGTTATGGAGTATGAGGTGCCGTCACAGGATGACGAGCCGTCACCATCATTTGAAGACATGCCAGCATACACAAAAAGGAACAACCTGTTCTTCTGTAATATTTGCTGTCAGCCTTTTCTGAAGAAGTTCGAGTTAAAATTGCACCTTTCAACTCATGCAGCAGCAAGTTTACCAGATCCCACCAACAAAGCGTTCACCTGCTTTGTCTGTGGTCGAGCAACAGAAACCAGGAGGCAAATGGTCCTCCACATGAAAACACACACTGGCGAGAACCCATTCGGCTGTCACATTTGTGGCAACAGATACAAAGTGAAAGGTTATATGAAAGAGCATTTGAGGACTCACACTGGAGAACGGCCCTTCACCTGCTACATCTGTGGGAAAAGCTTCAACAGATCCTCGACCATGAGTAAACACGCACGCATCAAACACAGGGAGAGCATGCCATTCAAGTGCCTGCGGTGCAGCCAGTGTTTCCCCCTGCTCGTTCTGTTAAAACGGCACACGAGGACGACCCACAGCATCACCGTCTCTGTATAAAATGCTGCTGCAGCAATGCTAATATTGACTACTGTTTTAAGTTCAGATGTTAGACTGAGTGTGATGGTGATGGCTTCTTTGTCGTTTATCTCTTATGATTTTATGTTTGTTGAAGTTGCAGCTGACATGTTTCCCCAAATTAGCACTAATATAACTTCTCATACAGATGCTCCTGATGAGTCACTGTAATCTGCTTCAGATCTAATGCGTAACACACTCAGCAGCTATATACTGAAACACTCAGTGTACTGAGCAGTTAGTCAACTGCTGGACCTTGACAAGTGTTTAAAGCTACAGGTGCAAATAAAATGTGTCTCAAGGGCTTTTACTCTCTCACAAAATCAGCTTTTCACAGTGTGTTTTTCAACTTTGTTACAGACTGTTGTACGTCCTTAAAATCTGCCTTTAATTCATATGTGACTTGTTTTTTTTTGGCTTGTAATACATTGCCTGTAGTGTACTGTTTTAGAAAATGTAATGCCAATAAAGTTATAGTACATTTGATTACTGCTACAGTTTTTTGTATCATGTGTTTGGTTGTGGTTGTGTACTTGTGTGTGTTTGAGTGTGTGTATCTGTCTGTCCACAGCTGTCTTGCAAACTACTGGACCAGTCAGTCTCACTTCTTCTGTATGAAGCAGAATCAGAATCAGCTATATTGGCCAAGAACGTGTACATACAAGGAATTTGACTGCAGTAGACCTGCTCTCAGTGTACCAGTATTGACTTAAGTTCTCAAAAATTAGACAAGAAAGTGGAATATACAAAAAAAAATATACGTCAGATATACAAAATATACAAGTCTATGAGGTAAAAATAGAGCAAAGATGCAAGTGTCATTTGTCCTGCCACTCTGTTAGTTCATCAGAGCAACAGCCGGGGGGAAGGAACTGTCTTTGTGACGGGTAGTTTTGGTAAACAGTGCCCTGTAGCGCCTACCAGAGGGGAGGAGTTTAGACAGTTTGTGTCCGGGGTGTGAGGGGTCTACAGTGATGTTTCTTGCCCATTTCCTGAACCCTTGACTGGTACAGGTCTTAGATGGAGAAAATATCAGTCCCAGTAATCCTCTCTGCAGACCCGATTGTTCATTGCAGTCTGTTCCTGTCCAGTTGGGGGGCAGATCCAAACCAGACGGTGATGGATGTGCAGAGAACAGACTAGATTATGGCGGTTTAGAACATGACCAGCAGTTCCTGAGGCAGGTTGAGCTTCCTGAGCTGTTGCATGAAGTACAGCCTCTGCTGGGCCTTTTTCCGGACAGTGTCTATGTGGGAGGTCCACTTCAAGTCCCTAGAGATTGTGGTACCCAGAAACCTGAAGGGGTCCACAGCAGACACTGCTGCTGAGGATGGTGAGGCGGGACAGTGTAGGGAGGCTTCTCCTTAAGTCCGCTGTCATCTCCACAGTCTTGAGCGGGTTCAGCTCCAGGTTGCTCTGACCGCACCAGAGGACCAGCTGCTGTGCTGACTGCATATTTTTGAGGCACATACCAATATCGATACTTAAGAGTTTAGAAAACATATTGGCAGATGTTCACTTGGCCTAAGCATGAACATTTTTATGAGGATTCCTTAAATTGACTTATTAAAGTGCAAATTAAAAGCTGCTGAGGATCTTTTTTGTTGCAGACTGTATGTAATTTTACTACTCACCTTGATGCTGTGATGCAGATGTGAACTCCAGGTTGTGTTAGCAAACTGTTTCTTCACAGTTGGGTGCAGTTACAGGTGCGACAGATCACACTTTTCATCACACCTCTCTGGGATGCTGATTGAAATCAAATGATGTGTGGGTGATAGTTTGCTCTCAGTCTTGAGAGATCTAGTGCCTCTGAGACTTAGGAAAGGTTATATTTATACTGTGCATGCAAGAAGGTGGTTACATGGCAAGACAAAACACTACATGCATCCTTTTCACTCCTTAAATGATGACAAGTCCTCCAACCCATTCGACCACAGAGGTTGTTTGTTCACCCTCTAATATGACCCACAGGAGCGTGTCCTAAATTAGCACACCTTCCAGTAGATGACAGAATAGCTTGTATATAACTGTTAACAATCAATTTTAAACATGTGGTTAACATTGTGAAACAGTTGCAGTTGCACCAAAACTACATGGTTACGTTTAGGCAGCACCTTGGTTAAGTTTAGAAAAAAGATCATGGCTTGGCTTAAAATAAGTACATGACTTACTAACTTCATGTGAAGCGACAGCCCGGCTCTGAGGCAGCGACAAAGATGGGAGACAAGACTAGTTTTTACCGTGCAAAAATAATGTATTTATTTACAACAGATAATCAAACTAAGGTAAACGTGAAAGTCAATAATCAGTAGTGTAAGCATGTGTGGATGTGTGGAAATGTATGGCGAGAACAACAAAACAAACAGCAGCAGCAGCCCGCTGCTCCGACCAGACCAGCAAGAGAGAGATGACAGGCAGGAGGGGAGCTTTTAAGAGCCCACACAGGTGTGGCACATACGTCATACGTGACATACTACCACACACTAAGTTACATTGTTAAAATAACTCAGTGGTGACTTTTGCTTTCACACAGGACATGAACACAGGCCCTTGTTGGACCCATCCACCTCCTCTACTTCCAATTACAAGCGGACCTTGTCACACTTTAGTACGTCACCTGACTTCCTCCTTTGCTCCCCTCGTATTTACTGCAGCCACTAAAGGTCACTGCCCAACAATAATATAAATATCAGCAGTAATTGCTGCTTGTACAAACAACCTATGTGGTCATATTGTGGAGGAGGACAGTCTTTAAAATGAAACAGTAATGGACTGTCATTGGGATGTTTTTGTATAACACACATACACAAAAAAAGTTTCTTGTTCAAAGCTCTTCTGAGTTGCATAGACCAGTTTTCCACTCTTGACTGCTTTGCCCCTTCATGAAGTGATGTGACTGAGGCAACTGATCAAAACTATCTCAAAGGTAAAATTCCTGATGGGTGTGGATTGATGGGAGCACTGTTTTGGGACTGACAACTGTGATGTGTAACGCACTCCTGTCTTCATCCTTGCAGATGCCAAACAGCCAACTGTACCAACATCTGCGGAGGAGATTCCCCCTAAACAGCACGAGTGGGGCCCGGCTGTGTGCGAGGACGAGCCAGGACCCTCGCAGCTTAAAGAGGAGCAGGAGGATCAGAAGGACGAACTGTGGATCAACGGGATCGGGGAGCAACCTTCAGCAGAGGACAGCGACGACGGGGACGCCTTGACGAAAGAGCTCATTAAAACAGTGCAGCAGTTAGAAGACTGTAGAGCAGCAGAGGAGAGCCGAGAGCCAACGCAGACCCCTGCAGAGGACCCAAAGCACTCTGAAGAGAAGACGAGCACCACCTTGTACCGCTGCCACATATGCAACTACATATTCACCAAAAAAACTGTGCTTACATGGCACCTCAAGACGCACGAAAGCAAGTCACACGACAGCAAGGGAAACTTTGACTGTCACATATGTGGTAAACACATACCCTGTCAGAGCAATCTGCAGAACCACATGAGAGTGCACACAGGAGAGAGACCCTACAGCTGCCATTTCTGCGGCAAGTGTTTTAAACTGAAAGGACACATGACAGAACACATAAGAACTCACACAGGAGAGAAGCCTTTCAGTTGTCACATCTGTGACAAATCTTTCAACAGAGGCTCAACTCTGAGGAAACACGTTTTAGCCAAACATAAAGAGGAGCGACCATACAAGTGTGGGGACTGTGACGAGTTATTTACTGAAAGGCTGCTGATGAAGAGGCACATGAGAAAAGTTCATGGAGTCAAACTGTCCACGAGTCAAAGTCCTGCCTAGAACTTTAGAACAGACGCCATTATTGATGCATGTTCAATATAGTCTTAAATCTGAGTAGAGAACAAGACTAGGTATCTTTTGAAATGTTTCAGTATTAGTGCCAGTGAGTTTTGGTACCAGAACAATACTTTTTTTTTTCAAAATATTGCTTTAAAGATTTTGATTACACTATACTAAAAAAAATCATTTTTTGGCCCAGATGAAGCCAAACTTCTCAAGTGTTGAATGTTGTCTTACACAAACAGCCATACAAGAACTTTGCCGAAATGAAATTCAATCTAGAATTGCCAAAAAAAGTATTTAAAGGCGATAGTTTGACTGAGACAAGGGGGAAACAGTGGGCGTGTTTCTTTTCAAAGTTAAAAAATACATCTTGTTCAGGAACAAACTGTAGTTTGTTGATATATAATGGAGCATATAGATATTACGATACATTAAGGGTCACCTGTGTAGGATTTAGTGGCATCAAGTGGTGAGGTTGCAGACTGCAACCAAATGAAACTTCTCCTGTGTCCCAAGTCTTTAGAACTATGGTGGAAAACATGAATGACTCTATTTAAGAGTCAGTCTTTCATTTGTCCGTTTTTGACTACTGCAGAGCAACATGGCGGACTCTATGGAAGAGGACCCGCTCTGTATAAACAGCTCATTCTAAGTTAACAAAATACAACAATTCTTAGTTTTAGGTGATTATAAACTAATAAAAACATAGGTATGGATACTGTATTTTAATTTCTGCCAATATATCCACCTTATTCCTACACAGTGGACCTTTAAACAGCTGGCTATGGAAGTGCTGATTGGTGTGTTATTGAACTTTGGACACAGCCAGGCTAGATGTTTGTCCTTGCTTCCATTCCTTATGCTAAGCTAGGCTAACTGTGCCCTGGCTCTAGCTCCATGCTCAACACACAGAAATGATATTGTGATATAAAGTCAAACTATTCCTTTGAATCAGGAGTTATCTGATAGAAGAACAAGTAAATACGGTTCTGAATCTAATTGATTCCAACCTTTGGTATGTAGGAGCTCACGATACAGACAGTTTGGTCGTTACCAGGAATGTGTTGAGGTTCATTGAGCCCTTGTAGAGACTTAGAAACATAAAAACAGACAATGGAGAGCTATCTGTTCTCTACAAAGGCAGGGGCCATGTGATTCCCTATGCTACAGAATACTGGAGGATTTTTAGGACTGCCTTTCTTAAAAAAAACTGGACCACTTATGTGCTGGACATTTCAGTTCCGTAACATTTCCTCTGTGTTTATAACCTCTGATGAACATTAAAATGAACCACCAGAATTTCATTCTGCAGCCTGAAAAACACTACTAAAGAAAGTTAAACAGATGTTCATTTAGGTAGTAGCAACCCTTTAAATTCAATCTGCTTTTCTAAGTCTAATTATTGTGCACCATTATGATAGTAACATGTACACCTGTGTTACATCGTCTGTCAACTAGTGATACCTTTGTTGTACTGTACAGTTGTTTTATATATTTATATATATTGTACATAGGTGGATTTTGTTTTCTTTTGCCAAAATTCAGTCATACCTGCTGAATCTGTTGTAAACCAGTGATGTGAACATAAAGAAATGAAGCTAAAAAGAAATACATTCAGGTGTGAAAATGTATAGCAAAAATACATCATTGTCATCTTTTGTTTTGTTTTTCTGCATCACATATTTGAGTTATATAGCAGTTCAGGAGTAACCACAGTTTTTGGAAAGGATTTAGACTTTCTCAAAGCAACAAGGGGGACAAAAGATGGAGAATGAACAAGAGCTGCTGGTAACATTACTATACGTGTCTGGTGGACTCAAAGTAATAAAGAGGCTAACTTTATGGCTTCTTGGTCAGTGGGTACATGGTGCTCCTCTCTTACAGCCACATCTTGTAATTTAAAATCATGAGAAGTCTGGGTGTTTATATAAAAATCTGGCCTTTGCAGCTTTTATCTGCACCTTGAAAACTGCTACTCTGCTGGAAATAGGTTTGTAGATACAGGTTTCCATGCATTAGTCACATAACAGGGTAGACATCCACCATCTTTTCCTAAAATTGGGTAATCAAACTCCACAGAAAAGCTTTTATATCAAAGCAGGACATCAAATACAGGCCATGTAGAGAGTATTTTCCCAGCTTTTAGCACATAAAATTACTCTCTGTGGTTGCACCTAAAAATATTAGCTCCTGAGTCCTTTGGACTGGAGCAACTATTTACACAACAATAAACCAATAACTGATACATATTACTTTTTTTGCTAATCAACAATTACTGGTTATGACTATGAAAATCAGGTGGACTTCGGTGAGGAAAATACTGAAGTGTTTCCTCAGTGTAATAAGTTAACTTACAGCCAAACAGCACCAGGTCTGCCTTGGTGATGACCGTTAGCTGTGGTGCTGTTATCCACTCGAGTGAAACTGTAGAAAGTCCCTCAGTTGTTACTGTCATGTGAAATACTTGCGTCTGTTTGTTTGACAGCAGCAACTCACATCACTCTTTTTTTCTCAGCTGCTATGCTAATAAAATCACTCACAGCCACAGGCAGTCTGCAGTGCTGAAGCCATATAAACCTGCCATTCAATTTTAAGTATTTCTCTGCATCATTTAATAGTCATCATGACTAAATAATCTTTTTGAGTTTAATGCTGAATATAATGTACCTGTCTTCTCTGCCTTGCCCCTTCACTACTGTGCCTTTGACTCCCTCTGGGAAGAGAAATCCATAGTGGGTTGTGTTGATGTTGTCATTGGGGTCCTGTGTGATAGACAGCAAGTAGAAGACTGGGCTTGTCACCATGTTGACCCTGACCTGATGAACATGTCCATTACTATGGGTGGTAGATGATGGAGCTGTGTTCACGGTGGTCGATAACCTCCACTGGGATGAACTAAGAGCAGAAAGGCAGGATGATGAGGTCAGCACCAGTGGCACCAGCATCAACTTGGGGAAAAAAAGAACGATCAAACTCTTAGTAAAATGGTTTTAGTCACAAAGGCACACAGAGAAAAGAGATACACTAATGCTAGAGAATAACACTTTACAATAACCATCATTTACAAATGGTAAACAGATAGTTTATTATCGTTTAACCATCATTTATAACCATTATGGTCTATTTACCATTTATAAATGATGGTTATTGTAAAGTGTTACCGAATCTTAAAATCCCTCCATTGTTCGTTGGAATTTTATTGTCAGAATAGTGAAAAAGGTCCCTCAGGCCTCAAGGTAACATACTTAATTTGCTGTTTTGACTGACCAGCAGTCTAGAACCCAAACGGTTTTGAATTTATAAAAATAAAAATAAACCAGCAATGTAAATGACAGAGAAAATCTGCCCATCCTGCAAGAGATATTGTTATTCAAAGTAATGTATGTAATGCAATGTTGATAAAAAACACTGCCATGCAACAGCGTACTGCATGTTTGTGCTCAGTAATAATGACTGTTGGTCTGTGTGACTGACAGTTTATTGATCTTGAACAAAGACGGGCAGCGTCATTCCTCCTATACTGACCTGCTGACCAATCAGAAGCATGGAGAAATTGATTGTAATTGATAGCCCACTGAGGGGACAATGTTCACATACAGACACCTCGAGATAACATTTGTATTAATATCCACACATTATCACCACCACAGTTTGTGAAGTTGTGCAGAAGTAATGTGGAATTGTAATATTAATTTCCTCAACAGTTGCTGCAAACACAGTAACTGCTGCTTTTAGTTTCCTCCCCACAGTCGCACAGGTTAAAGCAGAGTGATTAAACAGGATGGTCCACGAGCCTGCAGAGGGCAGCCTATCAGCTGCTAACTCTTAGAGTGAAGCTAGTCACACAGAAGGTATCACTAGAGCGTTACAGCTACTGAATATCAGTTTTTCCTGCAATAGGCTGACTTAAATTTAGTATTTAATGAGAAAAAGTATTCTCACCTTTTATAATTTTTTAAGGGAATAACATAGGAATATATGAAATAAACAGAGTTCCACTGCTTGAGTAATTTGGTTACACACATGGTTCTCACATGTAAACAATGACCTTTCATGGTAAAAACACAAAAAGACAAAACAAGAATATTGTAATTACTATGGAGATAATGTTCTTTTTCTGTAGGCCTACTATGACAACAACACTCAAGCCCAAAATTATACTCATATGTTTTTTGTATTTGAGTTTGTATATTCTGTGGACACTTTGGCCTTTTGTGACATTTTTTAAAAGTGAGATATTTGCACATCCAAACACTTGATGCAGGTGTGTTGCAAACTATCACTTCAGTCTTTGAAAAAAAAAAAAGGTCTCACACATTGCTGTTGCTCAGCATCACAGTTTATTGGCTATACTAACTTTCTGTCCCTCTGGAACTTCATAAAGAGTATTTAATACAATTTTTACAACACTGATCTTAAATAGATAGTGCTCTGCCCATTGTGTGTGCACAGGTGTGGGACACAGGGCACTGAGAAGGTTCCTCTGCCAAAGAGAGGTGGTAACATTGAACGAAACACTCGATAGAGGAGAAGTACTGGATGTTTAAACTGTAAACTCTGTCACCCAAAGGACTGAATTATGAGATACCATGCATGTCATGCTATATGGAATATTGCGATTGTGTAGACCTGCTTATGGTACAAGGAGGAGGTTCACTTCAGTACCTTATTCTTTCTACTGAACTATAACGGCGAACTGTATCAACACGTGTTGTTCTTCAAAAAGTCGTCCTATTGATAGGCTAGGCTGAACTTGGGTTATGATTAGGCGTCTTCTAAATTTTCACTGACAGCCCAAGTTTAGACGAGTTTTACCCTAAACCTTAGGTCTACATAAAGATGTCTTTTAGACGTATTTTAAATGCAAAATTGCCCGATGGGAGAGACCATAGAATTTGACCTGCCTAATAAGCCTGCTTCAGTCAAAAGCCTTATACCTATAGGTAAATCAAGGTCCACTGAACTACCATTTCTCTTGTCGTGAGGGATCTGGTTGGAGCTATGTGCTGGGGTATACTTGAGCGTTGAGGAGCTGGAGACAGAATGGATGTAAAGAGTTGGTTGAATGCAGAAGAAGGCTGCACTTGGAGGCCTGCTGTGATGCGAGACACTGACGAGGCAGAGGTGGAAGCATTCCTGGGGACTAACACAAGGCGTGCATGGATAGCTTAGCTGGAATTAGCCAGAGACTGCATGGTAGCAATCAGGTTGTTACCTATATGCTGTTATGATGTCATGGGGAGTAGCAGATCAGGTTGCCTGAACAGGAGAATGAGATCAAGATCAATGAGATCTGACTACAATATCAGCTGACAGTGGCAAAGAGGAGAACAGACTTTAAGTTTGACAGTAGTAACATGATTGGCTGATAGAGACGGTGGCAAAATTTGACTGGTTAACTTGAAGAGCAAACGCCAGTCATCAGCTAATTGGAGGAAGCAGGTGGTGTGTGTGTTAGTGTGTGTGTGCTCGAGATGTTGGGGATGGGTTGGGGTGCAGTAGAAGCAGAAAATGAAAGAGTAAAAGCGAAGGAGCGATATGAGGGATGTTGTAAAATTAGCCACGCTGTCAGAGCAGTTTGCACTTGGCTTTATAGGAATTGTCAACAGTGTGGCAGACTCAGGGAACCCCCCCTACCCCTCCCCTCGCTCTC